ACAGGGCACTCTGCCACCACGTTCACCATCTCACATGAGTACTGTCTGGGGCATCCCAAAACAATCACAATAACAACATCAAAGAGGATCACTGGTCACCCCAACCGACATACGAAGGAAAAGGTCTGAGTACTGTGAGAATTACTGACATGAGACACAGAGACATGCAGTGAGTGGGCACATGCTGTTGGAAAAGTGGCACCAACAGACCTGCTCGACAGAGGGCTGTCACCAACCTCCACCTGTCAAAGGGTGCAGTATCCGTGACCCATGATAAAATGAGGCCTAAACACACAAAGGAGTCCCAGAAGGAGAAAAGAGATGCAATGTGTCAGAAAGAACTCCTGGAGACACGATAGCCTGAAAGTCCCAAAACTGATTAAAGACATGAGTCAACACAACCAAGCAGCTCAACCAACTCTGAGTAAACTCAAAGACATCCTCACAGAGACACACTCAATCGGTCTGCTGAAAGACAGAAATGGGACCTTCGAAACAGCCCAAGAAACAGGTCATCGCACACACGGGACTCTCAGTGTGATTAACAGCCCATTTCTCATCAGAAACCAAGGCAGCTGGAAGCAGTACAGTGACTGACAAACCACTCGGTAAAAATTTTCAACTGATAATTTTGTATCTGACAACACTTTTTAAAATGCAAGAAAAAGTTTAAAATTCCTAGACAAACAAAAGTCAAAAGAGTTCATCACAAGTAAGACTTGGCTCACAAGAAATGCTAACAGTCCTTCCCACTGAAATGAAAACAAAGTAGAAAACTTGAGGGGAAAAAAAAGTAAGTAACTCAAAGCCACATAAAATAATAAAGAACCCCAATAAAGTAACTACATAGGCAAATATAAAAGCCAACATTATTATACTGTGAGTTTGTGACCCTTGCACTTGCTTCCTGTCAGACTAAAAAGACAATGCATATGTATAAATCTGTATAAATCTATGCCATGTACACACGATGGACACAGATGTAATTTGTGACAAGAGGTAGGGGAGGAGTGAGCAGAGCAGGAGCAGAATTTCTGCATGCTACTGAAGCCAAGCTGCATCACTTCAAACTGGGTTGCTACAAATTGAGGATATTAATTGTAAATCACAAGTAACCACTAAGAAAATATGTAAAAAAATAAATAAATAAACATAAAAAGAAATTAAAGAGGGAATCAAAAAGTTTTTTTTTTTTTAGTCAAGGGTCTCTCTGTCACAAAGGCTGGAGTGCAGCGGCACAGTCACAGTTCACCGCAGCCCCAAACTCCTGGGCTCGGGCGGTCCTTCGCCTCAGCATCCCGACCACCATGTCCAGCCTTTTTGTTTTTTTTTAATCTCCTGTAGAGACACGGTCTCACTATGTTGCCCAGACTGGTCTCGAACTTTGGGGCTCAAGCAATCTTCCTGCCTCAGCCTCCCAAAGTGCTGAGACTACAGGCATAAGCCACCACACCCGGTCCCAAAAAGGTACATTTTAAAAAGAAATTAATCAAACACAAAAGAGGACACACTGGAGAAAACTGCAGAACATAAAAAATTTTAAAAGACAAACCACAAACAGAAAACAAGTAAAAAAAAACGGCAGTTCCTTCCTATCAGCATCACTGTAAGTGTAAAGGGATTAAGCTCACCACCTCTGTGGTAAACATCCACACGATGGAGAAAACTCCTTGGCAGTAAAAAACGACGACGCGCTCGAAGTACCTAAAAACGTGACATTACGTGAAAGAAGCCAGACCCAAAAGCTATGTTGTACAGCTCCGTTTACACGAAATGTCCGGAACAGGCAAACGCACGTCTGTGGCAAGCAGAGGAGTGGCCGTGAGAGGTGGCAAGGATCCAGAGAGACGCTCAAAGGGAAAGGCTTTCTTTTGGGAGGGGTGAAAATGTACCCAGTCAGACTGTGGTGCTGGAGACACAACTCTGATCACACTGAGAACCACTGAATGGTACTTTAAAGCACGAACTGCATGAACGGCGCATTGTGTCTCAATAAGGCTGTCTGGTTTTCCGGTTTGTTCATTTTTTTATTGCCGTGGGTGGACTAGCACGTCCAGCCTAGCCTGAGAGCTGGCAGGCAATGCAGAAGAATCTCAGGCCCCACCTCAGACTTGCCGGATCAGAACCTGTGCAGGTGATTCCTGTGCAGATTGCAAATTGGGACTCACTGCCCGAGGGCAATGCCATGTCACAGGGAGAAAACTGAGACCTGAAAAAATTAAGTGGCTTAGCTAAGCTCACACAGTCCTTTCACAAGCAGGCACATGCAATCCTTTGAATCACAGGTGTTTGCTAGTTGGTGTCTCCCAGTGGAGAGGGCACAAACTGTATTTTTCACTTCTTAGCCCTTGAAGCCTGGTATGGTGTCTCTCAAATGTTTACTGAATGGCTAAAACAGTCCTAACAGACCGATCTCCTAAGAAAGGGAGTAAACTTTGCCTAAATTACCTTCATTATCAACATAAGTCAACTTAAATACCACTGCAGGCTTACATTCTATCAGATATTTGGGAATATTCTTTTTTGAAAAAGCATAGCAAATCACATGGGAATTGAAATGTGGGTTTTGCCAGAATATTACACTTTGCATTGAGTAAAAGGAACGTGTATGTTACAGCTCAGGAGATCAGAATGCTGACACAGAAAAACAGCTCCACCAGTGGATTTGCTCAGCCTAGAGGAAGCTGCTTGCTAGTCGGCGGTTCTCAACAGAAGACTGCAAGAGTGTGAGCCGCACAGAGGGAGACACGATGACGATGCAGCCTTCAGCCAAGAAGATGGTCTCTCCTCCTTCAGGTGGAGAGAATAGAGCGCGTGCTGACGGAGTGTCTGAAAAGTTAACAGGTAGGAAAAAACAGAAACTAGTAAACCACTCCCCAAGGTCCAAGCTTATCACTCTTCCGTAGTCATAGTAAGTTCAATATGTACGTTGAGTAGACAAAATACACACTAATCCAGTCTGACCGGCTTTTCTCCTGTTTACATGCAAACTTCAAAATAATTAATTCTCAAGTCGATTAACCCTCATTTAAACAAAGACCTTGAGACAGTTCACCAAAGCCAAACAGCGTTCTGAAATCTCTACGCCATTAAAGTGCTCAAGTCATTCCAACAACGGGAAGTACCACCTCCCAAGTATTCCACTGAGGAGGCCTGCTGCTGAACTGGAAGAGGCACTACAGCAAGAAGACAGCACAAATTCCATGAATTCCACTTAGGGTTCTTTGCAGTGGGCAGGGAGAGATGCTTATGCCAAGTGACAGGACAGCCTAATCTCCAAGGAAGAATAAGAAGAATTCAAGGCATTGTTATAAACTAAATATTAGGGAAAGAAGGAAAGGAATAAAAGCAAAATATGAGGCTGGGCGTGGTGGCTCAAGCCTGTAATCCCAGCACTTTGGGAGGCTGAGGTGAGAGGACTGCCTGAGCCCAGGGGTTCAAGAGCAGCCTGGGCAACTTGGTGAGACCTCGACTCTACAATAAGTCAGAAAGATTAGCCGGGCATGGTAGTGTGCACCTGTAGTTCCGGCTACTTAGAAGGCCGAGGCGGAGGGATCGCCTGAGCCCAGCAGGTCAAGGGTGCAGTGGCTGTGAGCGTGCCACTACACTCTAGCCTGGGCGATAGAGGGAGACTCCAGCTCAAAAAGAAAAAAAAAGAACACAAAAAAGGCCCGCAAAGGGGAAAGCAAAGGCAATAAAGTAAAACAAACAATGTTCCTAACACGTGCTATATTATCAATTGTTTCTGGTCACCCAAATATAGCAATGCACTTGCTTTTTTTTTTTTTTTTCTTTTTAAGTCAGAGTCTCACTCTGCTGTCACCCAGGTTGGAGGGCAGTGGCACGCTCACAGCCACCCCAGGGTCGACCTGCTAGGCTTAGGCGATCCTTCCACCTCAGCCTTCCAAGTAGCTGGAACTACAGGCAGGCGCTGTCATGCCCGGCTCATTTTTTTTTTGGATATATTATAAAGACGAGGTCTCACCAAGTGGCCCAGGCTGGTCTCGAACCTCTGGGCTCAGGCAATCGTCTCGCCTCAGCCTCCCAAAGTGCTGGAATTACAGGCTTGAGCCACCGCGCCCAGCCGTACTAGCTTTCTAAAGCTAAATTCCACTTACTTGGAAAGAAGGACTCTAAAGATGAAAGGTTCCCAGGCTTCACAGAGCCTACACACGGGAACATGCAGTCTCTGGGCCACAGAACATACATACTGACGGCTCGGCAGGTGCTGACAAAGAGCTTACTTCCCAGAGCGGACACAACGAGCATGCTAATGGATGGCAAGGGCCCGGAATCGAGGGCCGGCCTCCACTCTCCAGCCCTTCAATCTACGCTACACACCGGATAGGCTCAGGGCACCATCGTGTGCCCGTCACATGACCCGCAAAAGCTCATTCCTAACCAGCAAGCTCTGAAGTTCAGCTTAGTGTCCATGGCCCTCTGAAACCTGACCCACCATTCACACTCACCCTTGAAGCCCACGCCTCGTCCGCCCCTCCGCCAGCGTGGGCAGACTCTCCCAGCACCCTGCATCCTGCTGCCTCGCCAGTGCCCCAGCTCCACCCAGCCCTGCTCCTCAGCAGCCAGCCAGACCCATGCGGTCCGAGGCACACTGACCTCCCTCAAGTCAGCTGCAACCTCTCCCTCTCCGAGCACCCACACCCTGTTCTTTGAACGTCTCTAGTTTCCCTGGAGTTCTGCTGCTTTGATATCTATCTCTGGGCACAGGCAGCATGTTCCCCAACCACAAACATTCCCAGATGTCCCACAGTCTGAGGACACAGGTTTCCACAAAGACCTGACTCACTGACCAGGCACCTCAAAAGACTACACCGTAGAGACAGATGTACTTGAAGAAAATATTCATGTTTACACAGGTCACTTTTTAAAGAATACCGAAGCTATGAATCAACTATGTTTTAATCCTTCAAAGGCAAATGCTCACCTTTTAATCAACATCCAAGCATTTTCACTGCCCACAAATAGACCCCCAAACTTACCTCGAATAAGCGTAAGTCAGCAGGAACTCTGTCCCCGACAGAAAGGCAAACTGTATCTCCTGGAACCAAATCACGGGCAAGCGTATGCTCCAGCTTTCCTTCTCGCACACTGTCACGTGACACAGAAACACCACGGTTGGAACAAAAGTCATGCCACTGCCCCAAAAACTATTATTTCTGGTGGCCTTGCCTGAGGAAAACATACTCTATTAGTGCCACTATCGAGGAGATAAGTCAAATGTAAGAACCAAAAAAAAGACCATTCTTGTGTTCTCGTTCATTAGTGCCCAGATAACAGGAAGCAACAGGAAAAACAGACTAGCTGTTCAAGTGGTAAGTGTGAAAACTGACGCAGCCTTCCTTATCACCGGGGTCTGTCTGACTACGAATCACAGGACCCAGAAGAGAGGCACACACCAGCACACACACAAATATCCACTGATAAACCCATGTCTCGAGAGTTTTTAAATCAGACTTTGAGATTTTAATAGTGCAATTTTGTCACAGTGGTCAGACCGGGAATTTTTCATGTCAGATTAATGGTTTCTTCCTTATGTTTAAACAAAGTTGGGTCACAATGTATATTGTACTAGTCACATTCAGCTTCTATTTCTAAAGGGTCAAAAATCTGTATCAGAAAAAAGGCTCATACCAATGGCATTCTGGAGGCACAAGTTTACTCAATTCTTCAAGAGACTTTTCTGAACGATATTCCTATTGAAAACAACAAAAAAGCAGAACTTAATATCAGAAAAACATACATAGAAACAAATGCAGATATGCATGTTCCTGTGAGTACACTCCATGTAGCCTTAGACACTCATTACAATCATTACCTTAACATATCGCAATTCTTACCTTTTGTTACTTGTGCCTGTATTCCTACCCATAAAAACGTATCCCTTATTTTTAAATGTTAAATTATAGTGCTATTTTGATAATTAAATACTTTCAGTCTTACATTTTATATTCACTGTGCAAACCTAAGGTTAAGTTATTTAGAAGAAAATAAAAGCCAAAGAGTATATAATTTTGAATCATTAGAAGTTAAGATCACTGAATCTTAAAATTAAGACAATTTTATGTTACACGCTTAATGACCACAGACGTCAAAGACAATTAACTGCAAATAACAGATGCTTTGAGGACTTCAGCCCATACTAACGGCAATGGTTTACAAAGTAAGTTTGCTTACAAAGAACATGGGATAAACACGGAGTAAGAAGTAGCTGACCACACACTGACAGACACCCAGCCCCTCTCCCTGTATTATCTGAAGGGGACAATTCTCAGGATCCCTGCCAGTGTGTACTCCAGCCTTCCTCCCGCCACATAACGAGCAGCAGGAGGACCAAGCGCTTCCTCACCCCATTACACTGCTGAGGCCATGCTTCCATGAGCAGTCTTGCTTCACACAACACCAGTGCTGCTGTGCCTCATATCTGCACTAAGCACACCAATCTTCCATCTAAGGTTAAAAGAGCTTCGTAGGGGTGGGGGACAGGTGGGTGTTTTGAAATGACTGCAGTACTCGTATGTATCAAAATTTCACACCCATCCCAAACTTCAAACAGAAAATGCAAAGAACAACTCAGAACTAAATCAGTCTCTATGTAATCTAGAGGGAAAAAAATGAAAGGCAAATTCATAAATGTAAAAATACAAGACAACTCCCCAAACAAACCAAGGATACGAAGAAATGAGGAAGTTTTACCCAAAAATTCCATGAAAGGATAGAAAACACCAATCCTAGATAAATGACACAGACACTGTCCCATCTTTACCCACCTCTTCTGAGTTCTTAGTCTCTACTCCCTATAACCATAAAGACACCTCTGTATCAAAATGACCATTGAGCACACACCACCAAAAACCCGATGGCTATCTCTCATAAATGCCTGACAGTTATTTTCAAATTTATATAAGGTGGCATCTTTATACAACAATATTAGACAATTAGCCATTTTTTTTTTTTTGAGTTGGAGTCTCACTCCGTCGCCCACACTGGAGTGCAGTGGCCGCTCCCGGCCACCACAGCCTCAACCTGCTAGGCTCTGGCGATCCTTCCGCCTCAGCCTTCCAATAGCTGGAACTACAGGCGTGCGCTACCACACCCGGCTAATTTTTGCTTTATTGTAGAGATGAGGTCTCGCCAAGTTGCCCAGGTGGGTCTCGAATACAAAAAGCACTCTTCTCTGAAGAGACGGGTTATGGCACACATACTAAATAATGATAAGGCATTCCAGAATGTTGGAAGCATTTTTCATGGAGTTTTCTGACCAAGCATTATGATAGGTTCAACTGCCAGTGAACAGTATCTTTCTAGAGAGGACTTTTACTTGCTGTTTATAGAACACTTTTGTGTTTCATAGGCATATCTGGGGGAAGTGGTCACATGTGCACAAGAAATCAGATCCAGCAACGTGAAACTGGGCTTTTCATTATGTTTTGATCTTTTCATGAATTTTCTGTCAAATGAACAGCTCATAAAGATATTTGGCCATTGCCATTACTTTTATAGTGTATAACAATACTCTCTTGTGTAAAATTCCACACTGACTTATGTTTTAAAAAATCACATTTTCGTGGGGCTTTTTGATGGTAGGGGCTTCCCCTTAATCAAAGAGAGGGTATCCTCAACACAGTGATACTATCTGTAGAAACCCTTCTGAAGAAGGGCACTCTGTGCACCTGATGTGTCGCTAAAGATCTAAGAAGGTTCCAGGTCCTGGCCAGTGGGTTGAATAAATAGCTGTCTTGAATGATGTCCTGCCTGAAATGACCTATGCCAGAGTGGCCAGTTCCTCCTGATCAAGAGCAACATTTGTCTCTTCTGCAAGAAGATTCTCCCAAAAGAGGAACCCCGGTGGTCCAACCAATGTAGCTCACAAGCCTGCTGTCAGTCTCCTGATTCCAATGGGCTTTCTACACTGAATCGCTATAGAATCGGTAACTTACGAAGTTAGAGATAGCTATGAGAAGCCAGGACAGAGACAAGAAATACCCAGGAAATAAATCCTAGTGGTGGGATAACCATAACCACACAAAGTACGGTCTTAAGATTCACAACAGCATGAACTTCAGGTTATACAACAGTATTACATTTTTCCATAAATTAGAATTCTTCTATTTTTATAAACCATGTTTTAGCTAAAAATGAAACCTGCTGTTATTCTGAAACATCGTTCTAAAATCTACAGAAGTTTCAGATATTTTAAATAAACATAAAATGAAGTCTATGTTTTTACTTATGCCTAACACATGTCCATTGAAATCCTGACATCATCTCGTTATTCACAATAACCTTTAAAAGGGGCTCCTTTCATGTCTGATTTACTGTTTCAATGAGTCTGATCCAGATCAGAACATCCCTTCTTTAAAGAAATTGGTAATGTTTTTAAAAGGGGAAGGGGCTCACTAACAGTGATGAGAAGCATTTTAATTCCAAAAAAGGCTAAAATGAAATAAGGTAAGGAAATAAACTGAGTAAACAAGTCTGCCATTCTGCTAAGGGCATCAGTCACAGACAGAGAGCTATGAAACTTTCTCCGACTAATATTTCACAAATGGATCTTTTAGTTCTATACCTTTCGTTTCATATAAATTTAGCTCCAATGGGTATTAAAACAAGAGTTGTAATATTAGAAGCTCTGGACGAGTTGCTTTTTTAATTGGAAAAAAATTTTTAACTGCTGTATTTTATTTCTATCACTGTTTTTTGCTTCCATCTTCTTTAGTTATTCTTAACATCATCAAATGAAACACTAGATTTTCCTCGTCTCACTACCTGAAATCAAAGCAGTTCTTAACTCCCACAAGCTTCCCTGGAGAGTTGTCTGTATCTGATATTATTTCCAAAAAGAATAAATTATTCTGACGGAACAATAACTACAGATTTTATCATAAGCCATCTTATTTTAAGCAACCAACATACTATGTTTACATTGGCACAAAAGTCTACTTACCTGAACAAAGGCAACCGTAACAACGATAAGTATTGCCTAAATAAAACAAAGAAGCAGGTTTTTACATCAGACATTAGGTGAGAAGTAACTGTTAACCGTATTTTATTTTTCTAAGTATCTGCAGTCCAAAAAGAACAGATTTTAGACACTGAAATCAGCTGGGAAAGAAACCACAACTTTGCCTAGGGCCTGAGGAGAAAGAAGCTGACCGCCCAGGAGGACCCCACCCACCCCAAAAGCCACCCCAAGAGGGCTTCTGGAGACCACAGCCAAGAGGGCTTCTCATACAAAGATCTCAGGACCCCTTTACGCTCTCCAGACTGAAGACCAGCTTTCATTTATATGGGTTACATCTACTGATATTTACCATATCAAATTTTTCAGTTACTCAGTTTTAATTTGTACTTACTAATATATCTAAAACAATTAAAAATCCTAAAGAAGGACAAACATATTGATTTTGCAGCAACTTTGATGGATTTGGAGTCGATCATACTCAGTGATCTATCACAGAAAAGAAGAACAGAGTACCAGACGTTCTCACTCATAAGTAGTCCTTAAACAATTATCATAATACTATAAGAAAGGAATTGGCAGTAGTGGGAAACTGCCAGGGGAGGAATGGGCATAGCTCATCAAAAAGGGTACCTGCATAATGAACATTTGTATACCTAACCCTGAATTGTACTCCACATCTTTATAAAGAAAATAAAAAGAAAAAGTAGACGCAAAATTTAAAAATTTTTTTTAAATTTAAAATCCCATAACATTACCACAAATAACTTTATTTTATGAAAAATAAATTTTCCAGCCAGGCTCGGTGACTCAGCCTATAATTCTGTGCCTTTGGGAGGCTGAGGTGAGTGGATTGCCCGAGCCCGCGGGTTCGAGACCCGCCTGGGCAGCGAGACCTCATCTCTACAATAAATCAAAAAATCAGCCAGGCATGGTAGCGCGCGCCTGTAATTCCAGCTACCAGGAAGGTGGAGGCGGAAGGATCGCCGGAGTCCAGCAGGTTGAGGCTGCGGTGGCCGGGAGCGGCCACTGCACTCCAGTCTGGGCAACAGAGTGAGAATCCAACTCCAAAAAAAAGAAAAAGAAATTTTCCAAAAAACTTTTTTTTTTTAAAATGGCACTGTTTTAAATGTTTCTATCTTTAACATCTGACTTACTAGAAATCAGGTATTCAATGTACCAGAATGTATTTGGTTCGTACTGAAGTCTCTGCAGACAACCCACCCTCATACAGATACATAACTGGAAAGGGAGGTGTATTTATTCAGCTTTTTCAGATGATTGCAGACGTCTTCTTAGCTACTGCACCAAAACTCAACAAGTGTTAATCACTTAAAGGTCATCTGCGACGTAGGTTACGAAATTCTATCAATAAACTTTTCATAATCTGTTAAATTAAAACTCACTGACCTATCACATTTTGAGTAGATCTTCCACTGCTGCAGATTATAAAACATTATGCATTCATCACTCAGGAAACAGTGGCTTACTTGGTTATTCAAATCTTCCTGATGTTTACACACTTCATAACAATTTTAAAAACACACACACATTTGTTGAAATCACTACTGATCTCATTCGAATAAAGTCTATTTTTTTTTTTGAGCTGGAGTCTCACTTCGTCACCCAGGCTAGGATGCAGTGGCACACTCATGGTCAATCCAGTGTTTCAACCTGATGGGCTCCGGCAACCCTTCCGCCGCCTCTGCCTTCCAAGTAGCCAGAACCTACAGGCGCATGCTACCATGCTCAGCTAATTTTTTGATTTACTGTAGAGATGAAGTCTCACCAAGTTGCCCAGGCTGGTCCCGAACCCCTAAGTACCGGTATGCTATCCAGCTCAAAGGAGTGCACAGATATTTTCCAGAACTCTAATCTAATCTAATCTAAAACTCTAATGGATTTTATCATTAAAAACAAATTCTGCCAGGTGCTTTTCTTGATGTGATAGGCTCATTTAACTCACTTTTTTAAAAGTCTGCTTTCAAGCAGGGCTCAGTGGCTCAGCCTGTAATCCCGCGCCTTTGGGAGGCTGAGGTGAGTGGATTGCCTGAGCCCGCATGTTCGAGACCCGCCCAGGCAACCTGGCGAGACCTCATCTCTACAATAAATTAAAAAATCAGCCGGGCATGGTAGCGCGTGCCTGTAAATCCAGCTACTTGGAAGGCTGACGCGGAAGGATCGCCGGAGTCCAGCAGGTCGAGGCTGCGGTGGCTGGGAGCGGCCACTGCACTCCAGTCTGGGCGACAGAGTGAGACTCCACCTCAAAAAAGCAAAAAATAAAAATAAAAAATAAAACTCTGCTTTTCACCCAAGTCTTAATGGCCACAGTCTGTCTGTCTCTCAGTCTTTCTTCCAAGCACTTGGAAGAAAGACTGAGAGACAGACGGTGGTCATTAAAACTTGGGTGCACAATAACTGCCCTTCCTTAAGACCACCACCAGACTTCAGTCGACAAGCGTTTGAGGCATACTTCCCATTTCGTTACAGATTACTTAAAAAGGCAAGTGCCAAAGGGTCAAGATTTATCGCAAGCAGTGTTGACTGCTTTATCATCAACATTCTTAAGAGAAAGAACGAAAGAAAACCATGACTACGAGTACAGTTTGGCGCCATTGCTTTGATTTGTGCCAAGGCTCCAGCAGTTTCGCTTGCCACTGCTTTTGTGCCACTGATGCAAAAGTCCATGTTGAAAAGACGAATGATGTTTTGTATTATTAGGAGAGCCCTGACCTCACATTCCCCCAACAGGTAGGTCTCGGGGCTCCTGGGGGTCCATAAGAACTGTGGCTCAGCATTAACATCGACTGTGTTCCTGAGCACAACAGATTAACTTTGATGAACGCTTGCACGTGCTACAAATTTTTATACAACAATAAAATGGGGCCAAAAAAAAAAAGATGAAAAAAACTATTCAGTGGAAGCTAGAATAACCTAGTTGGAAAGAATAAAATCATGCACAGCAAATATAACATGACCTAAAGAATATTTTAATTTCATATGTCAGGCTTTAGTTCACAATCAGTCAAAACATTCTCAACCAAAAACTAAAAGAAAAGAAATGTTTTATCTTTTTTTTTTTTTTTAAAGATGTGGGGTACAATTCAGGGTTGAGCGAGAGTTATTGAGAGGACAGAAAAGTTCCCACAGTGAGAGGGGACCTGAAGGGGTTGCCCAACCAAAAGAAATTTAAAATTTAATTGGAAATTACTATAAAATATTTTTGTGTGAAATTATCAGATTGCTAAAGATTTTCATGTGTGCTAATCACAAACCTTTGAACATTGCTCAAAATTACTGCAACTAAAAGCAAAAGTTGGTTATTAATAAAAACCCAGAGGGTATTGCTCAGTTTATTTTCCAAAACAGAAGTCAATCACAATGGATACAAGTAATCAACAGATTAAAAAATACCAATTTTTTCTTACCACAGTGATACTGACGGCATCATCAAACTGATGCATTAAAACACTGATGACAGCAGACGCCAAGAGCAGCATGATCAGGGGGTTTTTAAACTGAAAGGAAAAACAGAAAGTAACTCAACTCGGCTTTGTACGACAGGCAGTTCTCGCAACAAAAGCTAAAACAAACACCACAAGGGCAAGATCAGAAAGTTACAGAAGTCCACATTTAGTTTAGTTTACATATCTCTTCACTTAACCCGAAAAAGTTTGCACACATAACCACATTTCAAAGCTTCAGAACAGTAACAGCTCCTTTACAGAAAAAAAGAAAATGCCAATACTTAAAGCTAAGAATTAACCAACTCCTTAGAGCAGGCATGCACTTGTAGTATATTCATTTAACAAATGTAGTTGTTCTGAATTCCTACTGAGGCTAGAAAAGGAGGGGTTGACGTTAAAGCCAAAGACAGAGGCGAAACACGGGGCAGAAGAGCTGAACCCTAAGGTTCGAGCGCTCCTCCAGTCAGTCAACTCCTGCAGATGGCTGTTCTGGGGGCGAGCCTCTTCTCCACAGAAGAAGCTGCTCCTCCAGGCTGGCCATCTTGCTACCTGCCTGGCCGAGAAAACAGAAACACCATGACAGCAGGAGCCCATCGGACCCAATCCCTCCGGGTGGCCGCCACCCCCCGCAAGGTTCTGACGCCAGAGTCTCTTCCCGTCATGCCCTGCCAAAGCTGCAGAGCAACGGCTAGGAGCCCACCGCGCAGAAAGCCCCGCCCCAGGTACCGCAGGCCGTGGCAACAGGCCACCATTCCAGCCCCTTTACACGGCTCCAATCCTGGCACAGTGCCTCCAATCCCGCTTCACACCGGTATCATGAGAAACTTCTAACAGCAGCAATGCCCAGGTTCACACTGGACTGACGAAAGCAGAGTCTCTGCGCAAAGGGCCGGGTTCCAGCATCTTTAAACAAGCACTCCTCAAGTGAGTGTAATGAGTGAAGGATTAAAAAAATGAATCACGGCCCTAACAAAATAAAACATCGCCTGCGCTAGGGCTCAGGGCTGACAAACCACAAGCCTGAGGCAGACGCTTGGGGCTGAAGCCCGCTCCTGTCACTGTGTGTCACCTTGAACTCTTTAGGACTCAGAGTCCTCATCAGGTAAAGTGGAACCTTATGCCAAGAACCGGCAGTAAGGATCCACTAAAAGTGTTTGTTTATTTTATTTTATTTTATTTTTTTGAGTCGGAGTCTTACTCAGTTGCCCAGACTGGAGTGCAGTGGCCGATCCTGGCCACTGCAGCCTCGACCTGCTGGGCTCCGGCGATCCTTCTGCCTCAGCCTTCCAAGTAGGTGGAACTACAGGCGTGCGCTACCACGCCCGGCTGATTTTTTGATTTATTGTGGAGATGAGGTCTCGCCAAGTTGCCCGGGCGGGTCTCGAACCTGCGGGGTTCAGGCACTTCACTCACCTCGGCCTCCCAAGGCGTGAGATTACAGGCTGAGCCACCAAGCCCGGCTTAAAGGTGTTTATTAAAGCACTGTGTAAACCAGAACACCCTCCTAAAATGTCAGCTGCTAACCTCACGTCTTGAGGGCAAGGCCCATGGTCTTATTTTCCTCTAAAAAAACCGTGTGGTGGCACCAAGCACTCCACCGGCTGAACAGCAGGGGCCAGGCAGGAGTGTGCAGAGCAATGGCCTCAGCGTTCTCTGGGGATAAAGAGCACCACCCAAGACGCACGACCAACAGGTGGCACTGCGCTGGCGGCCACATCGGCTGCTCCACTGGACAGGCAGGGCTTAATCCTCACAGGTAACCCAAGGGGCAGGTACTCAGCTTTGCTAACAGGATCAAGAAGTACAGCACTGAACCACAATGCCTGGTGAGAAGTCAAACCATCGCAGCTCATCAGTCCAGCATTAACCATGTCGACACTGCCTGAAGTTTTAGGTAACATGGATACAAATGTGTGTGCATAAAAACAAGACAGATACTATCTTCTTTTAACCTCTAAAACTGCAGTTCTGCTACCTTAGACAAACGCATCTGCAAAGTTAAGCCTGGAAAGTGTGGGCTCATTAGTAGGAAAGGCTCTTCAGAAAAAGTTAAACACAGATCTTTTAAAAACGAACCTGCAGGCTAACAGACACAGAAATGCTGTTATAAAAAGAAATTTTTAGCCAACAATTATTTGTTTAGCAAACCAATAATACTAGTTGAAAATTGGTCACAGTATCTCATGACTTCTTACACTAACATAATTGTTACCAAGATAAGAAAAAGAAATCCTACAGGAAGCTTTTCCTAAACAATTAGGATAATGATAAAATTATAAATAATACCCTTTCTTGAAAGCCTGTGATCTCCTAAAGTTAGTATCACCGTTTTACAGAGAAGGCTCAGAGCATAATAAAGATTCTATAGCTGGTAAGAAACAAAGGTGCAGCCAGGCTCAGTGGCTCAGCCTGTAATCCCGCGCTTTGGGAGGCTGAGGTGAGTGGATTGCCTGAGCCCGCGGGTTCGAGACCCGCCTGGGCAACTTGGTGAGACCTCATCTCTACAATAAATCAAAAAATCAGCCAGGCGTGGTAGCACATGCCTATAATTCCGGCTACTTGGAAGGCTGAGGTGGAAGGATTGCCGGAGCCCAGCAGGGCGAGGCTGCGGTGGCCGGGAGCGGCCACTGCACTCCAGTCTGGGCGACAGAGTGAGACTCCAACTCAAAAAAAAAAAAAAAAAAAGAAATGAAGGTGCAATTTGTACCATGCAGTCTGAGTTTAAGTTCCTTGTCTTACTCTTGTTAATTTTGTAAGCTGGTCAGGGCTAGCCTAGTAACACTGGCATTCCTGTCACCTAAAAGGCAGAAGTTCAGTGTCTGCAAAAGGAGACTCTTGTCAGCCAGAGTCTGCATGTGCTTCATCCCTAGAGAAAACGCTGCCTTTTAAGCCTTGTGACCTCAAAGTTACAGGAATTCCAAACAAAAATGTAAGTTATTAGGTAAAAGCTAACAATGGCCTCCCTTTCTACACAAATAACCTCAAAAAAGTAGCAAAGTAACAAAGGTCCATGTGACTCCCACAGCAGAGGAGGAAAGAACGGTGTCCCACCTGAGAAATATACTTCTTCCACAGTGGCTCATCTTCACTGATATCAAACTCATTCCAGCCATGGAAGGCGCGTCTGTGACTAACTTCACATTTGTTTAGACCATTCTGAAGATCAGCCTGTCAGATTTTACACATAAAGGTTACTGAAAATGTTAGCACAAAACAAAAGAAGAAAAACACGACAAGTACAGAACATATGAGCACATTCACAGAAACTTCTTCAACAGTCAAACTAGTCTATGAGGATAAACACCTTATCAGTAGGTGCCTTGGGTGATATATTGAGAGGGATTACTTGCAAAGGGGCCTGAGGAAGTTTTCTGGAGTGACAAACATGATTTGTATCAATTTGGTGATGGCTACACTGGTCAAAATGCAAAATGGACACTTCAAATAAGTGCACTGTATTTTATTCAAATTATACCTCAACAAACTTGATTTTTTTTTAATGTAAGCAGCAAGGTAGAATATACCAAACTAAACAAATAAAAAAATCTTATGGAGAAAAAGGAATAATACAAACCAGTCACAAAACTTACTCACAGAAAGCAAAGTATCAGTACATTTTAATTTGCGTTTGACTTTTCATTGTCCTTAGTTGTTTTCTAAAATTAGTTTTCCAAAAGAACATTCAGTGGGCCATAAATGCCTTCCTTGTTCTCTGAGTCTATCAACACACTGAGGCTGATATTATTTTCTGATCTTGGATTATATATAATTACTTCAGGCCACAAATTTGTGCTTCCTAAATTAACTCAAAGCAATGAAGTTAAAATGATTTGCTCTTGGGACATTTTACATTCTACTAATATCGCCTACACCCTTCAGTTACTATCACTCATGATTGATTATTGTAACTGTCATTGAAGAATGAAACTATCTGCACCCTCAAAATATTTTGTTTCTCTGACCAAAAGTGTTTACAATAGAGTTCAATAATGGAGCCTTTCAAAATTTAAATGTATTAAAAATAAGAGGTTTTAAAATAGAGTATAAATACAACAACAAAACAAACCTCAGAAAAGGATACCAATGATTCTAATGCCACTATTAAAATATGCAACTGAAGGGAAAAATATATATTCTTTTCTTCATGTTTCAATAGGTTGTGCTTTTGAAAACCGGGACAAGATTAAATTACACAACCAATTAAAGTGTATTTGCAATTCTGAATTTGTACTTAGCTTTTACTTTACCTTAGAAAACCCTTATTTAAAAAAACAAAGACAAACTGCTGCCGCTGCCTATGTTAGAGATTGACTGACTCTCCTAATCCAGGGAGCCCTTACACAGCACAAACAGGTCCTGGCAACGCCAAGGCTCCTGGATGGTACCATCCAATCAGGCAGCCACGACACATCACATGAATCCTGACACCGGTAAGACCCAACATATGGAGATGTTTAGGTAAAAAGCACCTACAAGCTATAGTCACATGCAGCTATTTAAATAAACTAAAATTAAATGAAATAATTCAGTTCCTTCATCACACCAGACATGTTTCATTCATGCCGGCGCAGTTAGCCCCAGTGGAAGATCAACAGCCATGTTTAACTTGTGGCTATGACGCCGAACAGCACAGAACAGAATATTTCCATCTGGTGGACAGCACTGATTTACAGAGTCCAAACGACTGATTTCACACAGCCTACTCCCTCCCTTCCTCCCCACCAGCCACTTACTTGGAGAATGCTTGCAACTTCACTGACTGGTAATTCACTTGCTTTTTTTGATGTCAATACAGGAATCATTGTCTCATTTTCACCATTAGGTATTTTTTGAAAACGTGCAACCTGGGAAATAAAAGTAGAGGAAAAACATTTGAATGCACCAAACAACTCTTAAGCAGTCTAGAATAACAAATGAGACTAACAATGAGTACTTAGTCCTAATAAGAAAATTTTATACTAACCGCAAGCTATTTTTCCACAAAGGACATTTCCAAAATTAAACCAAATTAAGCCACCAGGGCCAGCAAGAACACAAACTATTCACACTGAAGAAAAAGGACGCTATTTCTCCACCAACATAGAATAAGAAGTAAAACAGACGTCCTGTCTCACAGATTCTGATGATTACACGGGACTGTAATCCTCTAAACCCATTATGTTTCACGTGCGAGGCAAGGCCGTGCTAAGCCTCCCCCATTTTAATGGCTCCCCTTGGCCAGGTCGACTGACTGCTCTACCAAAGCACTGGGACAGCAAGGCAGACTTGGAGGCCTATTCCCAAAGGAGAACACACCAAGCCCGAGAGCCGGCGCGGTGACCATGCAGGTCAGTAGAGGGTCCCAGGGACGGTAGGAGCCAAGGTACCTCTTCAATGCACTTCCCAGGAGCACCCACAGAAAAGTGTCCCGCACAATTCTGAAAATGAATCCCCAATCCTGACCTGTCTTGAGCCCTTCTAAGATCTTTACAGACAGAACGATTTGGGTAGGACAAGGAGACAGGAGGCAGAAGTTTGCCTCTCCTGAAATTCGAGAACAGCTCGGGTGCCACACATCCAGTGTGAAATACCACTGACACCAAGGTGGTCAGCTGACTGCAGAGACAGGCTTTTCAGTCTCAGGTGAAGAGTTTTCAACCTAGAATTATCAACAGTTTTTTAAGACAAAGTACTTTCCTAAAATTTTGTAAGAAACACTTCAAGACAATAGACCAAGGAAGAAGATTCTATTACTTCTAGTGTCATTATAGAGGCCTGTGTGTGTAAAGAATCTTTGCATTTCTGTAATCCCACGCCTTTGGGAGGCTGAGGTGAGTGGACTGCCTGAGCTCGTGAGTTCAAGACCCGCCTGGGCAACTTGGCGAGACCTCATCTCTACAATAAATCAAAAATTAGCTGGGCGTGGTAGCGCGCGCCTGTAATTCCAGCTACTCAGAAGGCTGAGGCGGAAGGATCGCCGGAGCCCAGCAGGTCAAGGCTGCGGTGGCCGGGAGCAGCCACTGCACTCCAGTCTGGGCAACGGAGTGAAACTCCAAGTCAAAAAAAAAAAAAAAAGAATCTTTGCATTTACTCAAAAAATAGTAAATAGTTGAGGGGAAAAAAGTATTCCCTCAATGTGACCAAGGTTCTGGAACAACCGAATACAAGTTTTCTAACCTCATTCATTAAAAAGATACTGTTGTATATTTACATACAGTAAAGCAATGAACAGTAATATCTTTCCACATTTAATGAGGAGATATCAGTGACTAAAACTTCTGAAGAAATTGGAGATACACTACTTTTCTTTCCTGTAATACAAAGTCTTCACATTATTGTATAGCATAATATTTTTACATAATTAAGAAACTTAAAGCCTTAGGGGGAAAAAATGAGAATTTTATAAAAGTCATACACATTTTAGAATCAATGAAATGCCCTTAGTTCAAATCTACAAAACAAATTATGGCAGGGAGAAGACTTTATTGAACCATTTCAGTTAAACGAGAAGATTCTCCCCCACAAAGTGACTTAAACCTTAAAACCAGCTGACATAGTTATTTTCCCTTGTGAGATATAAAGCAAAATTAAGAAAGATCAAACATGTTTACACTGCCTGCAGTGGCAGTGAGATCAATAAAAATCTTTTTTCTAACATTCCTGACCTCAGTTTCTTCAGATATAAAATGGGCACAATAGTGCCTAAACAGTTGTTTGAGGATTAAATCCACTAATGTATCATTTGACCCACCAGTAATCTGTTCAAATGGTAACTATTTTCCAAAAGGTGTTTAATACTTATATGTACACATTCAATAGTATAACTCACTCAAGGAGGTCTAAAGAGAACTACGTTACTAATCAAGGTGAGTCAAGTTAGCTTACCATCATTTTTCAAGTTAGCTTACCATCATTTTTCAACGAAGATACACTCTTCCATCCTTAATCCACTGGGATTGCTCACTCCAGTTCCCAACACGCAATACAAGAGTCTCACTCCTGAAATGTCTTTCTAGTGACCCTTCGGTACTTGGCACACAGACCGGGCCTACACTTGAACACACTTTACATAAAACCCTTGGCCCCATGGGTCCCCAGGGCTACAAATCTCAAGGGCTAAAGGGAGCGAGTTTCCTGTCCTAAAGGACGAAGCACTGAAGAGGCAAGTGGCAACTGGCCAAACACAAGTGCGCCCACACCCACCGCCCCAAGCCTGCTCACAAGTGCAGGAGCAACAAGTGCCTGGAAAGCGAGGTCACAAAGTCCTTCCAGGACACCAGATCACATTCAACTCTGCACTCCTAGCATCCTCAGTGGAGCAGGAAGCAGCAGACACACAGAAATGCACGGGATGGCGAGCAACAGGGCGTACGGGCGTGTGACGAGGAGCAGGGAAGTGGCCAGTCGAGAGGGAACTGTTCTTACAAGCCTGCTGACCCTGTCGGGGACAAGGGAGCCCCAAGACAAAAAGCGGGAACATAAAGCAGAGACCAGGCCCAAGAAGGAAGCCAGGTCTGGGAGCTGACTGCGGAGAGAGCAGCAACAACTTGACAACAATGAAGAAGCCGTCATCTGTGAGCGGGAAAGAGGCTGCTGACCAGTCTCTGAAGACAAGGTGAAGAGTTCTATGACCTGGACACACAAAGTCACTCTGCAGGGTGCGTGAACTGTCAGCCGAGCCTCAGGCAGCAGCCGGCCCTGTGGTTGCGTGGTCGCATGGTCGCCCTGTCTCTCTCTGAGGCAGGCCTCAACGACTCCAGGGGCAGTCCTAACAACTTTTGCCCAGGGCCGGTCTTCTCAAGCTCTTGCCTTTCCCCAAGGAGCACGCTGGTCTCTCTGTTTATAAAAGCAACAGTGCTAGCCCGGCTTCCCATCCAAGAACAGGGGGATGGGCGAGGGGCTGCATCTGGCAAGGGGCCTTCCACTACAGGCTGAGGGGTGGGTCCCTGAGGCTTCTGGTGCCACCTGCCAGCTGTGTCTTCCTATCTGCTTTCTACCCAGATGGTGTCAGCCCCACCACGTGTACTTGTTCAGTGATTCTGGTCTCTTGTTTCACTGGACACAAGCAACCCTGCTGGGTGACCAGAACCACATGCAAAAGTGTTGTGACATTTACTGTGCTTCATGTGGTGGGAAATTGTGAAAAAAACACACACAAAAAAACACACAGTGGCACAAGATAAATGCAGAGTTTGGAGCTGACTTCCATGAAGTGCCAGGCGTGATACATGTGAACTGAGTGACAAGCCTCTCATTCCCGCACAGATGCAGCACTCTCACCCTCAGTGGGAAAATGTGGTGTCGCAGCTCCAGCCTCGCACGGCAGACAGCTCTCAAAGGGCAAAGCTGTGTGAGCTGTTAACCGAAGCAGCACTAGGTTTGTCAACAAATAGGGAAATGGGGGCTAATCACAGAAGTCATGCAAGCTGGTAAGCCCACACAGCAACACAAACGGAGCCCGGGATATGCAGTTGCATTTAATGTCTTACGATCTCCTAGCCTTTCCAGTCCAGGAACTTTCTGAAAAACCTGCATCCTCCCTTAAGGGGTTTTGTTGTTAGGTTTTAGTGTTCACTTCTGTAGGTATCTGCCTCACTCTGTCCCTGAATTTTGCAAGAAGACATTCGTTATTCAAAACTATGCTCTAAGGTGTTTACTGGAGTGGAGTAAATAATCTGTAGTAACAGGCCACGTTTTTCCACTAAAGGGTTTCAGAAGGTGGCAATCCTCAAGTTGCTGTAAGAATTCCTTGGTTGAAAATTTTAGCTTTGCATTTTCTCATTCTATTTCTTGAAGATAACTCTGAGATGCTCCCCATCTGTCCACCTGCTGTGATTCCTTGGAGCCCATTTATTCTTTCACTTTAAGAAGAGAAAACTAATTGCTGCAGAAGTCTCCGTGTTTTGCAGCTGGTCCTTTTTGTAAGAAGCACCTTTCCCAAACAAAACAAGAGCTTTTGCCGGGCTCGGTGGCTCAACCTGTAATCCCGCGCTTTGGGAGGCCTAGGTGAGTGAATTGCCTGAGCCTGCGGGTTCAAGACCCGCCTGGGCAACTTGGCAAGACCCCATCTCTACAGTAAATCAAAAAAATCAGCCAGGCGTGGTAGCGCATGCCTGTAGATCCGGCTACTCGGAAGGCTGAGGCGGAAGGATCGCCGGAGCCCAGCAGGTCGAGGCTGCGGTAGCCGGGAGCGGCCACTGCACTCCAGTCTGGGTGACAGTGAGACTCCGACTCAAAAAAACAAACAAACAAAACAAGAGTGTTTTTTTTTTAAGATGGAACAAGAGAATGTGTGTGTGCTCCTTAGAATGCTCGGACAGAGGAAAACCCGATACTGAGGAAGGGAGACGGGGCAGTGAAGAAGGCAACGCCCTTGAGGAGATGAGAGGGACCTTCCTAGAAAGGCTGGCCTCAGGGGAAGGGCTGGGCAGTTCACCCAGTGACAGGCAAGGAGGCAGAAGAGCACTCGAGGATGCAGGCAGGCTGGCAGCCGTGGCGGGGAAGCACGGGAAGATGCTCTCCTTCTGAGAAGTGTCTGGACTGAAGAGGTCAAGAGGGCATAAAAGGCACAGACCGGCTAAAGGAGAGGCGATCCCGCAGGGCCCTGTGGGTCCTTCAACAACTGTAGACCTTAAACAGCATTAATGCGGCAAAAGGCAAATGGCTCAAGTCTGAAAGCAAAGGCTGCAAAGAGGGCTGAGAATATGTAGTGTGGACACAGCTGCGAAAGTCTGCACAAGAGATTAGTGAAGCTAGGACCAGAGTGGGGCTGGGGTGCAGGGTGGGGGTGCAGGGAAGACAGAAGCAGAGGCAAAAATGGCAGGACATGCTAACACTAGAGAAATGTGTCCAGAATGACACCAGAGC